CAAATCTTGAGCGACCGATACGCTTTAAACAGAGAAGGGGTGTAATTTAATTAAGCTAATTACGGTCTCTAATTGCTAGTTTTTATGATTGCATCTGAAATTGTTAGGCGAAAGTAGCCTGCATGCCAAATTTCAGATCTATAGAGCAATCAGAAGTGGGCTAATTTTCGATGTCAATTTTAACAACAAACATCCAAACAAACAAACAAACGCGAAGCTGAGTTAAGAAAAACGTGTTAATGTTTAAAAAAAACCACTTTGGAGATAAAGAACTTTCAAATGCCCTGAAATAAAACCAACTTACTTTCCTAGAATTATGGGACGGGGTGAGCTGGACTGCTAACCCGTAAGTCTCGAGTTAGAATCCGGGTTCAAGTCAATAGACCGTCCATGAGTCCACCTAACTCACGTTATTGGAGAGTAAAGGCGGCTGGGCATAGTGCTGACCACACTATCTCTTCATATGCCGAGGTCACAGAAACAAGTGAACTCTACTTCACTTGCCCCATAGACCGTCAGGTTTGAAAGGGAAACTTTACTTTACTTTACTACTTTCCTAGAATTAAATATAAACTGTGGTCATATAAATCTAAATACGTTTGAGATGTCATGAGCGACGTCACATAAACAGACCAACTCTACTTCACTTGTCTCATGGACCGTCATGTTCGAAAAGGGAACGGATCAGTATGATTGACCAAGTCTATTTTTAATCATTTCAAAAATTAATAACGTTTTCCCGGCCTTAATCTAAACTTAATATTGTTCTCTTCTAAATTGACATTAACAATAAAGGAATCCAAATTTATAAATCTTTCTTATCAAATATTTCTAATATTCTATTGACGCTAGATACACACTATAGGGCCTAGATAAAATAAATAATAATCAGTAAACAGTGTAGCTCTGTTGCGCTTTTAAATAAATAAAAATAACAGGTAAAATCCGATTTCTAATTAAAGAAGCATAATAATATTACATTATAAATTATCTACTTCAGCCCTTTTTGTTTCTTCAGAAAAATAAATATTATTTAAAAGGCTGACTTTATTTAGTCACTGTACTGTTGCGCACCTTATAACGGTTGCCCATCTATGACGTCCACAAACATTTTTAATTTTTGACAACCCCCCCCCCCCCCACACACACACACACACACACGCACACACGCATCGACTTATGGCATTGGCATAGTCCTCAAGTGTGGCGAAGATGGATCAAATCAGTGCACGTGTTTAGATTTCTATAACGGACAATGAATCATGACCACCGGCCGGCCCTACGTACGACACAACTTTTACCTTATATTAATTACTTAACTATAGTTACATGGGAGGTAAACAGTATTTAGTATACTGTTTCTAAGGGAAACAACTCGTATCTTTAAACTAAATTAAATTAATATACTAAATAATATTTAAATTACTTACATTTTTCAATATTTTTTTATCAATTACATTTATTACTCTTAAGATTTGGTGACGTATATGAATATGTCAAATTAATTAGGATTATCTGAAAAACCTATATTCTTCTAAGAAATATAGATAGTTTAAAACACAACTATTTTTTTGCATACTACTTTTAGCTGGGTGCAAGAAATTCCACAAATAACTATCGCCAGATATAATAGATTGAGATTTATAATCCAAACTTTCTTTGACCCCCTTAAACTTAAGGGATAATAAAAGTTAACTATAAAAATCAAATGAAAAATTCTTTTATAGTCTAGATAAAATAAATAATAATCAGTAAACAGTGTAGCTCTGTTGCGCTTTTAAATAAATAAAAATAACAGGTAAAATCCGATTTCTAATTAAAGAAGCATAATAATATTACATTATAAATTATCTACTTCAGCCCTTTTTCTTTCTTCAGAAAAATAAATATTATTTAAAAGGCTGACTTTATTTAGTCACTGTACTGTTGCGCACCTTATAACGGTTGCCCATCTATGACGTCCACAAACATTTTTAATTTTTGACAACCCCCCCCCCCCCCCCCCACCCAGAGCCGGCGTTAGGGGGTGGCGAACGGGGCGGTCGCCATAGGCCCCGCGCTTGAAGGGGCCCCGCGCTTCAGCACTGTCATTGTTATCTGAATTAGTTCGTAAACTTAAAAAAAATTGTTGCTGAATTCAATTGGGAAAAACTAAATGGTCGAATACCGACGTTGTTGATTGTTATAACTGAGGCCACGGTTGATGTTGGTGAGTCCCACCTGAACTGGGACAGGCCGTAATTCGATACAAAAATAGTGTCAGACCTCCCCTTTGTGTAGGGTACGGTCGCCTGGCATTTGACCTGAGCTGACTGGAGATGGCGGTCGAGAATTAGCCCACGACGTAAAGAGACACCCTGTTGTATGCGGACCGATGAAGACATCCTTTTAGTGAGCAGACGGGATGTCTATAGTAGACAGTTAGTGACCTGATGAACTCTAGGCCTGACTTTCTTGTTGTAGATGTCGTATAATGTCGTATATGTACAGAGTTTCTTCCAGACTTTTTTCTCCGGGGGGGGGGGGGGGGGGGGGAAGGGGCACTTGAAATTTTCGGGGGGGGGGGGGGCGGTAGACTTTCATCGGGGGGGGGGGGGGGCGGACACTGTTAAAAGTATATATTTTCTCTATAAATTATATAAATTTCATTTCGTTTTCGGGGGGGGGGGGGTGCTTCCACCCGAAGAGATGCCTGGAAGAAACTCTATATGTAGGCCTACTTGTCTTGGTATAACAAAATTAACATTCAGTTGCGTGCAGAGGGGTGGGAGGAGGGCGACCAGGAGGGGGGGGGGGCTTAGGATCTATATCAGGCGGCATTAAACAGAGTGATTTATTATTATTTTTTGGAAGAAAGTTAAAACTGTTGTTATGTTGTGTCACCTTAAGGATTCACCCGTTCAATAATTAAGACAATAATGATTTTGGTTTTAAAATATTGTATGAATTCTAAACAAATTTTGAAGTCTATACTGTTTTGATACATCAGGCCGAGTTCGCTGTATTGTAAACTTTATTTTCCTAATTATTCGGCACGTGATAAAATTTTCTTAAGTGATTTGGTATGAATTACATAAATAACTGTTAAAAGTGATTTAATATCTTAGCAAAGGAAAAAAAAAACACGAACATTGGGTTAATACATGGGAGAGATAAAAATCTGTTATTATAGTGGAAAGTTTGACATTAGCTTATAAACTCCAAAACATTTGTTTTATTATGTGTACATCACATTATATAGGCTTTTATACATACAGATATATATATATATATATATATATATATATATATATATATATATATATATATATAATGGAAAGGCCCCGCGCGGATGGTTGGCCCTAGGCCCCGCGTATTCCTAACGCCGGCTCTGCCCCCACCACACACACACACACGCGCGCACGCACGCATCGACTTATGGCATTGGCATAGTCCTCAAGTGTGGCGAAGATGGATCAAATCAGTGCACGTGTTTAGATTTCTATAACGGTTTTTACGGACAATGAATCATGACCACCGGCCGGCCCTACGTACGACACAACTTTTACCTTATATTAATTACTTAACTATAGTTACATGGGAGGTAAACAGTATTTAGTATACTGTTTCTAAGGGAAACAACTCGTACCTTTAAATTAAATTAAATTAATATACTAAATAATATTTAAATTACTTACATTTTTCAACATTTTTTTTATCAATTACAATTATTACTCTTAAGATTTGGTGACGTATATGAATATGTCAAATTAATTAGGATTATCTGAAAAACCGATTTTCTTCTAAGAAATATAGATAGTTGAAAACACAACTATTTTTTTGCATGCTACATTTAGCTGGGTGCAAGAAATTCCACAAATAACTACCGCCAGTTGTGATGGATTAGGGATTTATAATCCAAACTTAATTTGACTCCCTTAAACTTAAGGGATAATAAAAGTTAACTATAAAAATCAAATGAAAAATCTTTTAAATTTTAAAGGCATCAAGCAGTGCCCGAAACTATGAAAGTTAAAACAAACTTACTTTCTTAAATTTAAGCTTAGGTCTCTTATTGAAGTAATTAAACAAATATGTTTAAGTTATCTCATGACCGAGGTCACAGAAACAGGTGAACTCTACTTCACTTGTTCCATGGACAGTCAGGTTACGAAAAGGAAACTTAATACTTTAAAAAGCACGACCAATGTTGTTTTTTTTTATTTTTGTGGAAGAACGTTTGTTTTATTTTCTTATTTTCAGTACATTTGAAAGCTTGTAATTATAAAGTTATAAAGTTTATTTTAGTTTTAGTTTCCTCTTATTAGCCATTCATTCTAGATCTAGATCTAAATGAAATCGACAGTGCTATGACTAAAAATATTTGCATTGAAACCCCGACCAGTCGTCTGCTCCTATTTCTCTGTCGTCCTGCAGGCAACCAATCATGCCCAAACATTCGGGGTGAACCACAGCTTAGCAGACTGATCATGCGATCACATCTAGCTAGTTATCTCTCCTTATATTATTGAATGTAGTAATCTATCCCTATTCATTAGATTTTAATGACTAATCTAATGTCTAATTAGATTTTTAAAAATAGATAGCATTGGATTGTTATCGAAGAAGAACGTATGTGGAAAGTTGGAATAAAATCGAGTTACAAGATAAACCTAGCAAGAAACAGACTTTGCAAACTAAATAAAACCTTATAAAAAGTTAAAAAAAAAGCTCTTTACTAAAGATTTCTGTGGAGGGGAGGTTAATTAATAACGGAGTTTAAAATACTATTTTCAAATCCCACTTTGTACGGGTAAAAAACTTACATAAAAAATGGGAGTTTAAACATAATGAAATATTTGGAGAACAGCTATTGTTTCATTAATTTTTATAAATACTCTTTTTTTTTAAATTATTCACTAGAGCTAGTTATTTTTAGTTCATTTGACTATGTAGATCTCGAGCATATTATAAACAAATTTGTTTCTTCTAAACAAGTGTATTTGTAATTTGTATTCCAGGAACGAACAGTACCTACGATACAAGAGAAGGACCAGTCCCTTGCTATTGCTTCCCCCTCCTTTCTACAATGTCCTTCCAAGACTTATCAAATCCATTTTTTGCTGTGAGTTCCCGTTGTATAACCATCTGGATGAAGAAAATGAAAGTATAAAGTCCAGCCCTCATCATCAGCAACCAATCACACAACAGCCATGAGATTAAGTTAAGTGTGTGTAGGAAGAAAAGGTTGTACCTTGTAAATCTTAATCCTGTAATTTGTTCATTGGCTTTAGCTTTGTATGTAGATGTTATCACATTAAATCTGTGAAACTAAATATGTAAGCCTACAGTTTAAGGTTGTTTAAATATTTTTAAACAGGGACATCACTAGATCAGGTGTCACCTGGTGCGCAACTTGGTGTGTAACTAAGGGTGTCTCCCCCCACCCCCTCCAACAATTTTACATTTTCTGTTTGATGTCATCCCCCTGTCCTTGCTATTTTGTCATCTTGATGGGATAAAACATTGTACTGTTGATAGTAAATTTCACAAATTTTCATCCTCTTGTTACCCCCTAGGTGGAGTCACCCAGTCCTGACAGCACCACTCCGCCTTGTGTCACCACTGATGTTAAATATCCCTGTGCACCATGACTGTGTTTTATAAAATTTATCTTATATAGGTCTCTCCTGGGGTGCGCTTGTACCATCCTATTAATAATTTCATTTTTATCTCATTTAAAGATAGCCTACTTGGTTCTGACCATGAATTTAAAGGTCTGCAAAATCCTCAGAGGTCTAGTTTTTCCATTGTTTTTTATTTTTATTTTTTATTTTTTTGCAGATTTTTTTTACTTAAATTTTAGCAGGACAAAAAAGTATTTTTCCAATACCATACTTTTTTTTTTAATTTAGTAGAGGAAGTTATCAAGCTTGGTTACCCCTCTCTTCCCCCCCCCCTTCCAACACCCATTAGGTGCTTAAGTCAACCCCCCTCCCTTCTTTTTTGCATTGAATTTATGTTTCCCCTTATATAGGAAAAACCAGAATATAGTTATATAATAATTAATATAACAGCTGTTGTGTTCCAATGCTTATTAGATTAAGTTAGCCGAAAACAGAGCTAATTACACTTCTGGATGTTTTAAATTAATTGGATGCTACTTTTAGTGTATCTGGATAGGTGTTAGGTTTTAGACAACATCAGGGCAGCTAAATTGTGCAAGTTGTCTAGTCATTGTGTGGGTTTATTAATTATAGTCAAAGTAATAATAATAAATTTAACCCATTGTAGCTTTTTAGATACAAATCACAGATTTAGACTAAATATCTATTTAACTATAATATTGTTGTACGTTTCCAAACCTATTTATGTACCACTTTTGTCGACTAGTGTAATGATAAATAATATCCAAATAAATGAAAAATAAATTGTATGTGATCATTGATGAATAGCAGCATAAAATATATGTATGTAGACTTTTTTGTGCCATTTATTTATTGTATTCTTTTTCATTGTGCTATCTCTGAAATTGCCATGTGTTAATTAAATTACTGCATATTTTTAAGGATATAAAAAAATTTACTGTCATTTTTTATTTACTTCTGTCATGTGTTCTTATGACAATCATGTATTGTACCTTGTACAAATATTCCTTAAATTATGCAATTTTTATACTTTAATTCGGATGATTTTTTGAAAGAAAAAATACTTTGTAAATAGGTTTTTCTGATCAATTTTATTTTTATATATTTTATATATATATATATACACACAATTTATAGAGGAATAATAAAACAATTTTAACCCAGCGATTTTTTCCATTTATTTTTTGTCAAAGTCATAGTAATAGTAGCTTATTAGAAATGATTTAGACTGAATATCTATTTCAATATAAAATTGTTATTCAACAAAAATTAGCAGTAGTGTTACTCAACTTCTTTTTCATAGTATAATTACAGTGGCCAAGCATTATTTAAATTAACTTTGCTAATCACTGTCTGCCTAAGTTAAATATTTTGTAGGTGTTTGGTTATCTTACATTACTTATACTGGAAGTTTTGCCTTTTCAAACCTGGATGTCCATGGGTCAGATGCTGGATGTCCATGGGTCAGATGAAGTAGAGTTCACCTGTTTCTGTGACCTCAGTCTCTGCATGTTAAGGGATAGTTTGATCACATGCCCAACTCCCTACTTCCTTTACTTGTCAGGCACCCATAAGAGCCATATTGCAGGGGTGCCACTCATTTTTTAAGTGAATCCTGAAAATGAATCCCAAAATTTTACCAATCCTGAAACTAAAATTTGAAATTTTTGAAACCCTGAAACTTAATTCCGCACGGTATTTCAAAATAAAATGGACTGTTATTTCATTATTTTTTTAGACATTTGATTCATATATTATTATGTTTAATTTACATGTCTTTAAAATGGATTTATTTTCTTTGTAACAAGCTTCAAATAAAAATTAATCTTTAAAGGATTGTGCTTACAACAAAATTAGTTTACAATGTTACTCCCATCTCTAGGCCTACCCCATAATGTGCTATTGTAGAACTTCCCCCCCCCCCCCCCAGACAGCTTTTATAACATAACTATTTAATTTTTTAGAACTTCCTAGCTTGAGTTAAAGTGTGTAGTCAGCCAACTGTTAAGTAACAAATATTTTGCTAACCTCTATGTCTTGTTATTGAATAATAAGCCCACTATATGCAGACCCCTAATAAGATTGCCACTGTATTAAAATACAGGGTTGACTTACTGTAGCTATTCAAGGCTTTAATTATTAACAGCCACAACAAAAACCTTAAACCCTGTTTTCCCAATCAACACCAATGGGGTCATCCATAAATGATGTCACGCTTTTTTGACGATTTTTACCTCCCACCTCACCTCGGTCACATATCGTCACAAAAAGCCAGACCCCGCCCTCTAAAATGACGTCACACCTCAACCTACACCCCCCCCCCTAAAAATTGCAGTCGAATTTTTCTTAAAATACAATATTTTTTCCAAAAAATCTTGTCTGACCTCTGTCAACATAGAGTATTTTAATCAATTCCTATTACACTTTATTGAAACAATATTCTAAAACGCGAAATAACGGCTAAAATTAGTTTTCTAACATAGCTTTTCGATAATGCAAAAGTGGGATGTCACACCATCTGAACCCCTCCCCCTCATGACAAAATTACGGACCCCCCTCCCCTACGAGTGTGACGTCATTTACGAACGAGCCCAATGCCACGAACGACCCCAATGCCCCCACCTTTGATATACATGATGACGTGAAGAAATATCGTGGAAGTTTTCAGTTCATATCGCGGAATAACAGAATTAATTTTAAAAATAATTTTAGAAGTAACTACGCTAGTAATAGTCATGTCAGAGATGTAGCCGCCCGACTAAGTGAAAAGCTGATTTTTTTTTTTTTACAAGCGGTTGGGAGGGGGCAGTGATAGCGGCTATTTTCAAGGTTGTTTAAACATTTCAATGACGTTTTCCGAAAGTAAAAAAAAAAAAATTAGATGTAGACCCTGCTAGATCGTGTAACTAAATTATAGCAGGCCTACATATTTTTTTTACTGATATAAAACAATGCAGATCTAATTTTTTTTCTTGAATTAAAAATAACCACGTTAAAATTAAACAGCGCTTGTACTTGTAGAACTGCCTTGACCGAGAGACACGACTCAGACTGTGTTCACGTGGTCTCGTGACCTAGGTCTTACGGTCAGCGCGACCTTGATGAAGCGGGTACGTGGTGGTAAAAAGTGACGGTAAAGTTGAGTGAAAACAGCACAGTTCTATTTCACACATAAAATAGTCCTCCAAACAGATTTTTTCTTTTCTTTTTGTAATACCAAATACAATTTTTTTTTTTAATCGGAGCAAAATCTTTGTTTTTTTTAAAAGACGATCGGCGATGCTAGTGAGCTAGATCTAGTAATTGTAGAATTTAGTTGTTTTATTACACAGCCTAGCGGGCGGTATCCCATTGATGACATCACGTAAATAATACGAGTTTCACCCCCAACCCATATCGTCATAAAAAATAGCCAGACAACCACACCACGAATGACATCAAAAAGTTTCGTCTACAGCCTCACCCATCTGATACAGCTGATTTTTATTTGGTCCTTGGCGCACGCGTGAGATTGTTGCTGACGTCATTTACTATTCATTTTTTTCGGAAAAGGCTATTAGCGGGAGTGTTGATGATAAAAACAATTTTTACAATGCCAAAATTTTCAAGCTTAAAACTATCTAAATTTTTTTTTAAACTGCAAACCCGGAAATTTTCAAACTCAAATCTTGCGAATCCGGAAAGGGAAAAAAATATGATTCTCGAATCCGGGATATCCCGGAAAAGTGGCACCCCTGTATCTATGTTGGGACAGCTTAGATTTGTTTCAAACATAAATATTCAAAGCAAAACAACTTACAGCTACACAAGCTGTTGTTTAAACTATCTGAGATCAGCACTATGTCCAGCCTCCTTTGCTTTCCCTTACCTGAGTCGTGTACCCATTACAGCTGGGCAGACTCAGCTATATTCTACCAATACAAACCCAGGATTTGAACTCTGGTTAGGTGTGGTATGCTCTAGCATTCGACCAAGTGCCCCCATTTTAAACTGACCAAAATTCCTATTGTACAGAACCAAGGTTTGTGTGTGTAGTAAACGGGTGTGCTGGATACTCTTGTTTACAACCCAACAATTTATTTAGACTTAATTTAGTTCCATAGAACTTTGCAATCTTGATTCTAGGCTGTTGCAAGGGTTTCAGATTGGATTTGATATGTGAGCATTCTGTCACAATAAAGTAAATCTAACAACACCATCAAATTTTAACCAAAAACTTTTTATTTTATTCACAAATGTAATTCAAATATCAATAATTAAAAATCATTGCATTGAAAAGAGATAATAACAATATTTTATATCAATCATAGTGTCACTACACTGGTCCACATCATTAAACAATGATTGAACTTATGTTATATAACATAAACATGTACTTATCACAATACAAAACAGATACAAACTATTCTTTTATTGTTAACAATCACATACTTATCACAATACAAAACAGATACAAACTATTCTTTTATTGTTAACAATCACATACTTATCACAATACAAAACAGATACAAACTATTCTTTTATTGTTAACAATCACATACTTATCACAATACAAAACAGATACAAACTATTCTTTTATTGTTAACAATCACATACTTATCACAATACAAAACAGATACAAACTATTCTTTTATTGTTAACAATCACATACTTATCACAATACAAAACAGATACAAACTATTCTTTTATTGTTAACAATCACATACTTATCACAATACAAAACAGATACAAACTATTCTTTTATTGTTAACAATCACATACTTATCACAATACAAAACAGATACAAACTATTCTTTTATTGTTAACAATCACATACTTATCACAATACAAAACAGATACAAACTATTCTTTTATTGTTAACAATCACATACTTATCACAATACAAAACAGATACAAACTATTCTTTTATTGTTAACAATCACATACTTATCACAATACAAAACAGATACAAACTATTCTTTTATTGTTAACAATCACATACTTATCACAATACAAAACAGATACAAACTATTCTTTTATTGTTAACAATCACATACTTATCACAATACAAAACAGATACAAACTATTCTTTTATTGTTAACAATCACATACTTATCACAATACAAAACAGATACAAACTATTCTTTTATTGTTAACAATCACATACTTATCACAATACAAAACAGATACAAACTATTCTTTTATTGTTAACAATCACATACTTATCACAATACAAAACAGATACAAACTATTCTTTTATTGTTAACAATCACATACTTATCACAATACAAAACAGATACAAACTATTCTTTTATTGTTAACAATCACATACTTATCACAATACAAAACAGATACAAACTATTCTTTTATTGTTAACAATCACATACTTATCACAATACAAAACAGATACAAACTATTCTTTTATTGTTAACAATCACATACTTATCACAATACAAAACAGATACAAACTATTCTTTTATTGTTAACAATCACATACTTATCACAATACAAAACAGATACAAACTATTCTTTTATTGTTAACAATCACATACTTATCACAATACAAAACAGATACAAACTATTCTTTTATTGTTAACAATCACATACTTATCACAATACAAAACAGATACAAACTATTCTTTTATTGTTAACAATCACATACTTATCACAATACAAAACAGATACAAACTATTCTTTTATTGTTAACAATCACATACTTATCACAATACAAAACAGATACAAACTATTCTTTTATTGTTAACAATCACATACTTATCACAATACAAAACAGATACAAACTATTCTTTTATTGTTAACAATCACATACTTATCACAATACAAAACAGATACAAACTATTCTTTTATTGTTAACAATCACATACTTATCACAATACAAAACAGATACAAACTATTCTTTTATTGTTAACAATCACATACTTATCACAATACAAAACAGATACAAACTATTCTTTTATTGTTAACAATCACATACTTATCACAATACAAAACAGATACAAACTATTCTTTTATTGTTAACAATCACATACTTATCACAATACAAAACAGATACAAACTATTCTTTTATTGTTAACAATCACATACTTATCACAATACAAAACAGATACAAACTATTCTTTTATTGTTAACAATCACATACTTATCACAATACAAAACAGATACAAA